AGTGGTGATGGATGACTACAACAAGATCAACTAAGGATATATTTATAATGCCTAGCATTGTGATTGAATTAATTGTATTAAAAGAAATTTTTATATAAATATCTATATATTAGGAAGTTAATTTTTATTTTGCACAATGAAGGACAATTGTAATATTCACCCTTCCAATCAAGAAAGGTAAAAACAAATTGCCCTGCAAAATGCAAAAAATAACTACTTTATAAATTTGAAGCCTAACCAACACTTACAGAATTAAATTTTAAAAGTTAAAAATGATATTTTATTTTACCAATTATTATTTAGAATAAACTGAAATATTCTGTGAGATTTTAGGGTTCATGCTCGCGCGCAGAGAGAAGGCGCCGTGGGGATTCGTGAAGTACATTCATCTTCTCCGGCATCCAGTCGAGGATTTCCGGGATTTGCAGGCCGTGCTGGATGATCTCGATCGCAATGCCGCGCGCGCGAGCTCCTTGCCGCAGCAAGATTGGGCGCGCATTCTCCAGGCCTGTGGACGGCTCAAGGGGCTTGCACTAGGGAAGCGCTTCCACACACACTTGGCGGGCTTGGATCAGCTGGACAGGGATCCGAGCGTGGGAATCCCGCTCCTCAGCATGTATTGCAAGTGCGAGAGCGTCGAGATCGCAAAAACAGTGTTTGATCGTCTCCGCGAGAGGGGAGCTGTGGCGTGGACGATGCTCATCGGCGGATATGCCCAAGCCGGGCATCAGGGAGTCGCACTTCGTTTGTTCAAGGCGATGATGCTGGAAGGGGTGAGGCCGAGCGAGGTGACCATCATCAATGCGCTCACGGCGTGCTCCAGCCCCCGGGAGCTGCGAGATGGAGCTTTGATCCATCTGTGTGCTGCCGAGAGCCAGGTGGATTGCGAGATAGCAGTCGGGAACACGCTGGTGAGCATGTATGGCAAGTGCGGAAGCTTGCTCGATGCCAAGGCGGTGTTCTACAGCATGCCTTTGAGAGACCTCGTCTCCTGGAGCATCGCAATCTCGGCCTGCTCCAGGTACCAGGGCTGCGAGGCCGACGTTCTGGATCTCTTCCAGCGGATGCTGCTCGAGGGGCTATCGCCAAAGCATCTCACTCTCGGGATTGTTCTCAACGCTTGCGCTCGGATCGAAGCTCTGGAGCGAGGTATGTCGATCCACCAGAGCTTGGTGCAAAGTGGGATGACCACCCTGAACTACGCTGTTGGGATTGCTCTCATCAACTTGTATGGCAGGTGTGGGAGACTCGAGGGCGCTTGCGATGCGTTCCAGGCGATCGAGGAGCGCACAGTTGTGTCGTGGAACTCGATGATGACGGTTCTAATCCAGCACGGGAGCTGCAAGAGAGCTGTGAGCTTGTTCCACGAGATGCTCCAGCATGGCTTTAAGCCGACTAAGGTAACTTTCATGACGATCCTGAGCTCTTGCACGAAGAGGTCGCAGCTTACTGACGCTCGCTTTCTTCATTTTGCCGCAGCTCAATGCGGTTTCGAGAGGGATGTCTCCGTCGCGAACGCGCTCATAAGCATGTACGATGCTTGCGGGAACTTGGAGGTCTCGGAAAGGATTTTTTCGGGAATGGAGGTGAGGGATACCATCTCTTGGAACGGGATGATATCGGCTTACATCCAGCACGAGCAGACGAGCATGGCCAAGACACTGTTTAGGCTAATGCTCTGCGAGGGCGGAGAACCAGACCGAGCGACTTTGGCTCACGCGCTCAACGCTGCTGCCAGCCTCAAGGAAGTGGAGCTCGTTCACGGTTTTATCGCGGAGAGAGGGGATGAGTTTCATGAAATCCTGGGAAGCGCGCTGGTGGCCATGCACGGGAAGTTTGGGACTATAGAGGAAGCTCGCAGGATTTTCGGCAACGTGAGGCACAGGGATATCATCTGCTGGAACGGGATGATCGGAGCTTGTGTTCACACAGGACATCCCAAACAAGCCTGGGAGCTCTACCAGGAAATGGAAGAGGCCTCGGGATTAAGTCCAAACAACATAACTTACGTAGCGGTGCTGGATGCCTGCACGGAGATGGGAGCTCTCGACAAAGGCAGACAGGTTCACGCGTCCATTCCCGAGAAGCAGCTGCGTTCCTCCATCGAAGTCGGGATCGCCCTCGTCAATCTCTATGGCAAGTGCGGGAAAGTGATTGAAGCTCAGCGAGCCTTTGACGGCATGGAAGTCCGAGACGTGATACTCTGGAGCTCGCTCATCGCAGCCTACGCTCAGCTTGGTCACGTAGACGAGACGCTGCTGCTCGTGAAGACCATGCAACACGAAGGCTTGGAGCCAAACCGAGTGACTTACGTGAGCGTCATCTCGGCTTGCAGCCACGCTGGGCTCATGGAGGAAGCTTACAGCTATTTCCTGGCGATGATCCAGGATCACAACATCGCTCCCACTTGCGAGCACTACCGCTGCATCGTGGATCTCTTGGCTCGAGCCGGGCAGCTCGACGAGGCCGAGAAGCTCCTCACCAAGATCGAGAACATTGGACCGCTGGCCTGGATGACAATGCTCGCGGCTTGCAAGGGCCAGGGCGATCTCGGACGAGCTCGAAGAGCTGCCAAGCTTGCAATCAAGTTTAATCCAGGCTCCTCCGCGGGATACATAGCTCTCTTCAACACCTATCTTGGAGAGACGACGGAGAGCTCGAGTTAAAAGAAGATTGGCGCCAACGCGGTGTGGATCGAACTCGGCACCACGTCTTCGTGTAGAAAGAATATGCCCGTTAGAGCTGTCAAACGGGCGGCACATTTAAATAGGCGGTCTAAAAGACCGAAGGCTAAGTGTAAAGTTGTCTAGTAAAGTCCGTGTCCTCCATTTTTTGCTGGTGCGCTAGGGTTTTCGCGGAAGGTAGAGGGTCAAGGCGCGGGCGAGAACAAGATCGCATTTCCTCGCGCTCGTCGATCGATCTGATCCCAGCTCGTTTCAGCGGAGATCATGACGACCATGGAGAGCCTCATCGGGCTCGTAAATCGGATCCAGCAGGCGTGCACTGTGCTGGGGGATTATGGCGGCGATAGCTCGCTCCCGACGCTCTGGGAGTCCTTGCCGTCGGTTGTCGTTGTCGGTGGCCAGGTATGTGATTGATCTTGTGCTCCGGGGCTGATCGAGGTGAGAAATTTCTGGTGCAGAGTTCTGGGAAATCGTCGGTGCTGGAGAGCATTGTGGGGCGTGATTTCCTGCCCAGGGGATCGGGAATCGTGACCAGGAGGCCCTTGGTGCTGCAGCTCCACAAGACGGAGGGAGGAGCCGAGTATGCCGAGTTTTTGCACATTCCAAAGAAGCGATTCACGGATTTTTGTGAGTTTTGAGCGTGTGAGTTTTTCGTTTATTTTGCGAGGTTCTAACAACGCGTTTTGGAACTCGACTTGGTCAGCTCTGGTGAGGAAAGAGATCCAGGATGAGACGGATCGAGTGACTGGCCGTAGCAAGCAGATTTCTCCCATTCCAATCCAGCTGAGCATCTATTCGCCAAATGGTAACTAGACTTGAGCTTCAAGTAGAGTACAAATCACTCACGCTCTCCTTGTCCAGTTGTGAACTTAACGCTGATTGATTTACCGGGATTGACAAAAATTGCTATAGGTAAGATGAAAGCTTTTTATTAAGTTTAAACTCACTCCAATACGGCTTTTTTGCAGAGGGTCAGCCAGACAGTATTGTTGCTGACATAGAAAACATGGTGCGGTCTTATGTCGAGAAGGTATGCGTTTTCGTATGTAGGTTCAAGTTAGAAACATAACGGTCTCTTTCTTTTCCTGTCAGCAAAATTCTGTCATTCTCGCTATCTCTCCAGCGAACCAAGACATTGCAACATCTGATGCTATGAAGCTAGCAAGAGAAGTGGATCCTACAGGTAAATCTAAGGTCTTGAGCTGTTCTTTATAATTATTTTCATGTCCTTGTAAAGGTGAACGGACATTTGGTGTGTTAACAAAACTGGATCTGATGGACAAAGGAACAAATGCTCTTGACGTGCGTAGAGTTTTGTGTCTAACTGGAGACTTATCTTTCGCTTTACTCTTCAGGTTCTTGAGGGGCGGTCATACAAACTACAACATCCATGGGTTGGAGTTGTCAATCGCTCACAGGCCGATATCAACCGTAGCGTGGATATGGTAGCTGCCAGGCGTCGTGAAAGAGAGTATTTTTCCTCCAGCGCCGATTACGGTCATCTGACGAGTCGCATGGGTTCGGAATACCTTGCAAAGATACTTTCAAAGGTAAATCCAAAGTTGAACTGTTTGGTATGGACTCCTGATGACTGAATGAGGACCATATGCAGCATTTGGAAGCTTTTATAAAGGCGCGTATCCCAAGCATTCTTTCGTTGATAAACAAAACAATCGATGAGCTAGAAATGGAGTTGAACCAGTTGGGGAAACCCGTCGCTGTTGATTCCGGGGTAACACGAATTGTCTGTCTTATGTATTAGTATTTGCCTGACGTTTGCACTTTCCAGGCGCAGCTATACTCGATATTGGAGCTTTGCAGGGCCTTTGATCAAGTCTTCAAGTCCCATCTCGATGGAGGGTTGGTTTCTCAAATTTCGACCATCTTCTAGTAGCACTCACTACTCCTTTTCAGACGACCTGGCGGTGAACGCATATACACTGTTTTTGATAATCAGCTCCCTGCTGCACTTAAAAAGCTTCCTTTCGATCGGCATTTGTCCATACAAAACGTACGAAAGGTTGTGATGGAAGCTGATGGTTATCAGCCACACTTGATAGCACCTGAGCAAGGTTATAGGCGGCTTATTGATGGCGCTTTAGTATTGTTTAGAGGTCCTGCCGAAGCGGTTGTTGACGCGGTAAGCCACTGCTAAAACTGCAATACATTTTGCTTTGCCCAGTACTGAATTTCTTTTCATCTGCAGGTCCATTTTGTTTTAAAGGATTTGGTGCGCAAGGCTATTGGAGAGACGATGGTAATATTTTTGTGTTTTACATTTTAATGCTTATCTCACAGTCGCGTTTCAGGAGTTGAAACGCTTTCCAACTTTACAAGCCGAAGTTGCCGCTGCAGCCATTGAAGCACTTGAGAGATGCAGGGAGGAAAGTCGAAAGTTTTGTTTGCGCCTGGTCGACATGGAATCAAGCTACTTGACGGTGGAGTTCTTCAGAAAGCTTCCGCAAGAGTTCGATAGGGGTGGCAACCCGTCTGCAACTACCATGGATAGGTACACAGACTCTCACTTGAGAAGAATCGGTAAGTGCCTCGTCTGGATTCGTGTTGTTGCTCATTTGCTCACTTTCTTGTTGTGGACAGGGTCGAACGTCACAAACTACGTCTGGATGGTCTGTGAGACGATCAGAATCTCAATCCCAAAAGCTGTCGTGCACAACCAGGTCCGGGAAGCTAAGCGGTCGCTGCTAGACAACTTTTACACCCAGGTCGGCAAGAAAGAGGTACGGTTGTCTTTTAGTATGGAACAGCTAACTTATTTACACTTCTGTACGAGCAGGGCAAGCAGCTAGCTCAGTTGCTCGATGAGGATCCAGCGTTGATGGAGCGCCGAACGGCCTGTGCTAAGAGGCTCGACCTGTATAGAGCAGCTCGGGATGAGATCGACTCGGTGGCGTGGGGTAAGTGAGAGTTAAGTGAGTGTGAGCTGGGGATGTACATTACTAGTCCATAGGAGATTCATTTTGAGAGCGAAGGGGGAGAGTCTGGTGTCTTCTTTCTCTCTTGACATATACGTAGGATGATGAATATATACTATTAGCGAGCGTTTTTTTCTAGTTTTGCTGTTTTAAGTCTAGGAGAGTTTTTACTGTTGTTTCGCGTGGGGTGTTGGGTGTTGCTTGTGGCCTTGGAATTTCCAGCGTTTCTCTTGTACTTGGTGGTAGCTATGTAGTCGAATTCGAGGAGTACTTTGTCGCAGTGTGTGTGCGTTTGCTCGAGTGCCCAAACAGCGTACCTGCTGATGAGGACGTGAAGGGTGTTTTGCGCCTGCGTGTTTTGCTTATCCGAATGCTTTTCACGGCTTCCTGATTCACACAATCAAAAGAAAAAAGAACGCTCAAGAACGAAAAAAATGAGGTGATTTGCTTGCCACAAAAAAGAAAACGAAGAAAAGGTTTGGACATTGAGATTCGTGCATGTGGGTTCCATTGGTGTACTGATGTGGTCATTGTTTGTGTAGCAAGGAAGAAAGATGAGGGGTATGAAGAGCCTAGAAAGATCACAGCACAGGAAGTATAATTAAGCAACCTCGAAGGCCTCAACATTCTTCGTCCGGCGAGCGACTTTAGCCAGGACATGAACCATCATTGGCTTTTCAGCTCCAGGAGATTAGAGAGGTGTGGAGATTGATAGATTGATTGATTAGTAGGAAGGAGGAGGTGCCAGGTGAAGAAATGGGGGGCTAGAGACAAGAGCGGCGGCATGGGCATGCACAGGGATTCTAAGCAGGCTCTTGGGCGATTTGGATAGCGGGCTCTGGGAGTTGGGTTGTGCTCCATTTTCTCAATTCGATGGCGGTCAGATTGCTCCCGGAAGGATTACCTGCGCTGCTCAAAGTTTGGATTTGTATCGTCAGAGCAGGAAACTTTGTGTAGGATGGGAGAGTCGTCGGCATTCCGGAGCTGGAGCTGGGAAGTGCCAGCGTTTGAGCCCAGGAGTTCTTCCGCGGCGAATAGCACCTTGTGGAGTGACGAGGATGGAGACGATTTGCATGCCTTGACGGCGAAGGGTGGTCGCAGGCTCTCGCTGCCGGCTCATCTCAACAGCACTGATGAGAGGCAGCAGCAGCAGCAGCAGCAGCAGCAACAGCTTTCCAGCAGGCTCTTGAAACTGAGGGAAGAGCTCCTGGTACGCCCTTCCCCTCTTTTTTCTTCTGTTTGTCAAGTCGGTCTTCTGAGTGGTCGATTCGTGTTTCGTCAGGGGGCTCGGAGCGAGTTTCTAGAGATCAGACAAGAAGCTAATGATCTACAGGAGTACTCGAGTGTAAAGCTCGATCGAGTAACTCGCTATCTTGGTGTTCTCGCGGACAAAACGCGCAAGCTCGGTAACGAAGTTCTTGTTTCGTCTCTCACTTGGAGTTTAATCTGTGGTTAACTTGTAGATCGGACGACAGCGGAGTATGAACTTAGGCTCGCCATTTTGAGAAAAGAAAAGTGTTTACATTTCAACGAACTAGTGTCTAGCAAAGGTACGTCCAAACCGAGAAAGCAACAGGGTGACCACAATTTATTTTTTGTGGCTGCAGGAAGTACTAGAGTTTTTGTTCGTGCTCGTCCAAAGCTTAGTGATGAAACGAGTACGGCACTTTCGTTTCCTGACGAGTGCACCGTTATCATCAACCGAGCGGGTGAAAAGTCCTCCCGGCTCCAGCCCGTAGAGTTTCGTTTTGATCGAGTATACGAACCTCGTACTTCACAAGGTCTAATACGCTTTTTCTTTTTACCTTCTCTTGAATTGGCTTTTCCCCTTCCCATATTTTCCAGGAGAGTTCTTCCAAGATATCCAGCCTTTGGTACAGTCGGCGCTAGATGGCTATAATGTTTCAATATTTGCGTGTGGTTCTAGTGGCTCTGGCAAAACTTACACACTGGTAATGGAGCGTTGTAAACTTGCTCTGTGTTGATTACCTTTGCATTCTCGCAGGAGGGGCCGAGCCATGACAGAGGCATGTACTTCCGAGCCTTCGAGGAGCTTTTCGATCTGTCGAATGGAGAAGCTACCCCTTCGTCCAAGTTCACGTTCTATGTGACCATGTTTGAGCTCTGTAACGACCAGGTGACAATTTCTTTTTAATTTTCAGGTACTTAATTCTGAGAAATTTCAGGTTCAAGACTTGCTTGCAAACGTAGCAACTGTTGCGGAAGGTCCTGTTAATAAGATTCAGATGGAATCCTCTGTAGAGCTACTGCAGCTTGAAGCCGAGAATCCTTCAAGCTTTGCTAGAATCTTCAAGGCCGGGCTACAAAACCAGCAAATAAACGGCTTCAAGGCAAAAAACATGAGCTCTCCATGCCTGTGTGTGTCTCCTCTACTCTGTCTCGTGTTTCTTCTAACGTTTAAGTCTTGTGTCTTTTAAGGACTGTCACCATTCACGTAGGATACTCGAACAGTTCCACTGGTGAAAAGCAGTATAGCAAGCTGTCCCTTGTCGATGTACCTGGAACCGAGCAGCAAATGACTACTGAAGGAGTTAGCCCGTGCTTTTCATCGTGAGTACCCTCCCACAGTTTGTTGATCTGTGAGTTTGTTCTAATCATTCGTTCACTCAGACTAGTTGAAGTCATATCTGCTCTCGTCTCTAAAAGGGACCATGTACCATATGCAAATTCGAAGCTAGCGAGAATTTTATCGGACTCCCTAGGTAAGTACTTCTTGTCAAGTTGATAAGTAGTGAGTAGCGTGCATTTGTATGTAGGTGGGGACTCAAAGACGCTATTGATACTGAACATCAGTCCAAGCGATGTGAGTCTTGATGTGACGAAGGCATGGCTCAAGATCGCAAAATTCTGCAATGATTCGTCCCGAACTTTACAAAACAGGGTATGCCGTTCGTATGCAGCATAAATACTCATCTACCATGATGTGCGAACAGATTTACGAAGAGCAAAATCAAGAGCTCAGGATCGAAGTGGAAATGCTGAAAAACTCATTGAAAGCGTCTGAAGACCAATGCGCACTTTTATTCAAAGAGATGCAAAAGTCTTGGAAGGTAGCTCTATTCTTCTTTTTTTGTCATTGTTTCCTTCGCTAAAGAACTATATCTGGTTAGTCTCCAAGTACTGCTGGAGGTGACGATTCAATAGAGCGGAAGTTTGAGAAGGATCAAATAGTTCAGCTGAAAACTCAAGTAGCGCAATTTGCGAAGTATGACCGCGACCAAAAAGCCGAGCTGGCAAGTCGAGCATCGAAAATCTTGGCTCTTGAAGTAAGTTGAGATCTCCTTAAGACTCTTTGTTTGAGTTTGTTTTCTTTTGTCTGTGAACAGGACAAACTGCAAGAACTTACTCTGCAGTTATCAGAGATGAGAGCTAGAGAATCTCAAAAGATAGAAAAGGTCATTCGAACGACATCGGATTTAAACGGCACGTCGCCTGCGGCGAGGGAAGAAGAACTCGCGAAGCGAGACGATCTGATTGAGGTAGTCGTCTTGAATGTCCTTTCCTTTGTCAAGCTTGTTTCATTTATTTTCAGCGTTTGCACGAGGAAAACGAGAAGCTCTTTCAGCGGCTCACTGACAGAGGTATCTTTTCTCCAAAGGTACGCATAAATTTCATGTTTTCCTAGTTTTGATCTTCTTTTTTCCCCCTCAAGATTCGTCAACCGGATCCTCCAGCAATCGACAATCTCACCTTAGGTGACTCAGTCAAGTACGTACGGAATCTAAGAATGCTTGCATGTGTCTTTAAGCACTCTTTCTCAGGGATTCTGCCAAACGTTCACCTTACAACCAAGTTCCAAGCACTAACTTGAACAATAACACTAACACAAACAAGAGCACTCCAGAAATGACAAATGCTTTGCAAAAGACAAATTTTAAGTCCACTCCAGCCGGGGAATATTTAACCTCTGCTTTGTCGGACTTCGATCCTGATCACTACCAGGGCTTAGCTGCTATATCGGATGCCGCAAATAAACTGCTTATGCTGGTACGTTGTCCTTCCTCCTGAATACTTATATTCTTTATATCCGGCTTTCGATCTTTCCAGGTTCTAGCGGCTGTGATCAAAGCCGGTGCCACAAGGGAACATGAGATGCTGGAAGAGATTCGGGGAGCTGTATTCGCATTCATCCGCAAGCTAGAACCGAGAAAGGTCATGGATACAATGCTGGTTTCCCGCGTCCGAATATTGTACGTGCGTTCTCTTCTAGCGAGAGCAGCGGAGCTGCAAGAGATTAAGGTACGTAACAAAAAGAAACGAGCTAACTCAAGAACATTCCTTTTTAGGTGCCTTCCGTGGACAGATTCTTTGAAAAGGTCGGATCCAAGAGCAGTAGAACATCCAGCAATGGGAGCAGTCCGACTCGTTCTCCAGTTTCCAGCCATCTGCATTCCAGCTCAAGGAAAGACTTGATAGATGGTGAGAACATACCATCCTTCAAGATTAACCTGAAACGGGAGAAAGCATCCAAACTATCCTCAATCGTGCTAAAGCTCAGAGGCATCGACCAGGTAAGCTCATGAAAGACCACAAGTGAATCTTCTCATTGGTAGTTATGTTACTCAGGAAACTTGGAAGCAACATCTAACGGGAGCAAAGCTTCGCGAGATGAACGAAGAAGCGCGGAACTACGCAATCGGGAACAAGAAACTGGCAGCCTTGTTCGTTCACACGCCTGCTGGAGAGCTTCAGAGGGAAATACGTGGGTGGCTTGCAGAAAACTTTGAGTTTCTGTCATTAACGGGAACAGACAATGCGAGCGGTGCCCTTGGCCAACTGGAGCTCCTTTCCACAGCTATCATGGACGGTTGGATGGCCGGACTTGGTATTCCAACACGTTCTACAACCGATGCTCTGGGCCAGTTGTTCTCCGAGTATACCAAGCATGTATACATGTCTCAGCTACAACACTTGAAGGTAAAGTTGGAGATATGTTTTCGTCGATGAAGAAGTGTGTGTTTCTTTTTACTTGATCAGGATGTGGCAGCCACTCTGGCTACAGAAGAGGCAGAGGATCTTGCACAAGTGACCAAAGTCCGGTCGGCCCTTGAATCCATTGATCACAGGCGAAGAAAGGTAGAGTGGAGATATCATCTTATTATTCTGTAGTTTACTGTTGTCTTGTGCCCGACACAGATATTGCAACAAATGAGGAACGATCCCGCTCTCCTCACTAAAGAAGAAGGTGGATCTCCATTGCGTTGCCCTTCCTCCGCTAGCGAGGAAGCCCGTATTGCATCGCTTATCTCGCTCGAAGACATCTGTAATCAAGCCGAGGTATGTTTTGTTTGTTTTTCCTCATGGCCAACCTTTTGTTTGCCTATCAGGAGATACGTAAAGAAGCACCACTAAAAGCCACATTTACGTCCAAGAAGAAGTTCATGCTGTCAAGGCTCGACTCGCTAGTCAGCCAGACGTCTGCACTGTTGTCGATTGATCACGCCTGTGCTCACAAGTTCATCAAAGCAGCCCGCCGGGCAACCGAGGTATATCATTAGTACTTGTGTCACGTTTCCAATTCGTGAGCTGAGCACTTGTGCGTTCTAAAGGCAGCGGCGGCGGCAAGTGACGGAGCAACACGCAGGAGGACGGCTTCTTCCGACGACGGCAAGAGCGGCGAGCTGTCATCCTCATCAGGCGACTGGGGAAACGACGCCAGCATGAATCCCGCCAGCGAAGTCGTGCAATGGAGCGTCCTCCAGTTCAACAACGGGACAGACACACCATTCATCATCAAGTGTGGAGCAACGTCGCTGATGCAGCTGGTAATCAAGGCCCAGGCAAGCAACAAGAGCAGCGAGAGCAGCGAGGCGGCGGGGCGGGAGGTGGTGGCCATCGTGCCGAGCCCGTCCATCCTGTCGGGGCTGTCGCTGGAGGAGATAAAGCAGGCACTGCAGCCTCTACCGGAGGCGTTTAGGCAGCTTGCCATGGCGAGGACCGCCGACGGGACCCGGGCAAGGTACTCGAGGCTGTACAAAACGCTGGCGGTGCGCGTGCCGGCATTGAGAAGCAGTGCCGAGCACTTTGACACCGACTTTGCGGGTGGCGGTGGCATCAAGACGACGCCGCAGCACAGCAGGAGCTTGCAACAGCAGAGGCAGCAGAGGCAGCACATCCACGCCAGAAGGGCATCCGAGTCGGACAATTTCCTCAGCGACTACTGAAAAAGGGAAGCTAGTTTTGTCCCGGCTCCTGAAGATTTAGCCTGGTTTCCTTGCGACAGGAGGTTGAAGAGCGTTCACACCAGCGCGTGCATAAGAAGCCACCGGAGCAGTGGACACAAGCTTCCAGCCGCGTGGTTTTGAGCCTCCGGATTCAAGGGACAGTAAGCGGCAGAAGGCGTCCAAGAGCAGACTCTAGATGAACACCGAGTAGAGCCGGACACCAAACCACAAAGGACGTTTCTGTAACTCTCGCTGAAGTTTTTGTATGAGACATTGCACCTAAAACCTGAGGAGGAGGTATAAGTTGTTTTTACTCTGGGAAACTCACGCTTGCCAGATTATATGGTTGGGATTTGCGTGATTCATCCTGAGTGCCGCGGATCTGTGCCGGATACGTTAATGTTTCCATGGTGTGATTTGTTACGGAGAACTGTTGAGGTTTCGACTCAAAGACGCAAGCACGGCAGCAGAAGCTGCTCTTGCTGCTAGCAGCAGGATGGGGATTCTTCACAAATACTCTGACCTCCACAAAGTGGTTGTCCTACCTGCATGACACTTTCCAGTTGATGTGATCTTTTGAGAGGCCATTATGCTCCACCTGAGCCTCAAAGCCTTAGCTGCATTCTCCTTTATGCTTGTACCAAACATATCAAAAGTTTAAATGATAAGCAAGAAACTCCCCAGAATTTTTGTCGTTCCAAGAACATTGTCTCGTCCTTCTCAAGACCTCGCAGAAGTTATCGATCAATTCTCGAAAGGCGCAGGGAAGCTACTGTCCCTAATATGTACCCTAAACACACACGTCGGCACATGACGTGGCCAGAGCCACGTCGGCGCGCGCCCTATCCCACATGCAAAGGCGTAGAATCATGCCAGGGGCTTGAGTATATAAACAGAGGGCTGGGCAATTAGAATTCATACCTTTCTCGGCCTTTTGGCTAAGATCAAGTGTAGTATCTGTTCTTATCAGTTTAATAGCTGATATGGGGCCACGTGCCCCAACGCTATTAACCTAATTTTTTGTGGGAGGAGGGCCACCGGTAGCTTGCTACCCGGCCCTCCACGTGTCGCTTTGGCCTTACACTACCGCCTTAGCCTGGCACAACCCAACCCCCCAAATTCAAAATTTAAGCAGCAGTAGTCGCAGAAGCTTCGTTAAAAATAGCGAACATGCTTTTGTTAAAAAGATTTTCCTATCCTATTGACTGTAGAGCCAATCGTAGAATTCCTGAGACTGTAGTTGCCGCTGTGAGGCTGCAGATATCTCCTTTGCACGAGGAATTCTTCGTGCCTGATACGCCTCTAGAGCGCTCCTAGAAGAAGATATAAAAGGAGTCATAATGACAGAAAAGTTCTTGCCAACTTAACTGTAGATTGGAGCAACTTGAGACTTGCATTGCGAGCTCAAGTCCGTCCTCAAATGCCATGTTTGCGCCCTGGCCAAGTGCCGGTGTCACGGCGTGAACAGCATCTGTTTCAATTAAAAGAAGGTAACATGAATCCAGACTTCTTTTCTTCCAAGTTTAAGAAAACATACCCCCAAGCAGGACGGTGGAACCTTTAGACCATTTTTCAAGCACCGGCAGGTCCACAACTCTGCGTTCCAGAATGAGACCTGGTTCTGTAGCCTGAGTAACACAGGGAAGACAAAAGTTTTAGTAACATATTTCAGAAAGTTGGAAGTATCCCACCTCAACAATCTGAGTGGCGAGGCTCCATCCTTTATAATACTCCAGGAGTCTTTCTTTCATCTCCAGCGTGTTTGTAGATCTCCTTGCCGTGTCGCCGTTTGTAGCTTCATCTGTTACACTCAAGGCCCAGTAGAGTTTTCCGTGAACTCCGTTCACGATAAACACCGTGCGTCCATTAGCAGCCGAGGTTGTAGCTCCAGTACTGTTGAGCACCTTTAGATTACACGTCCAAAAAAAAAGAAAAAATTATAATTCTCGAAGAAAGATGATGGATACCTTGTTCTGGCAAAGACTAGAGTCGATTACAGCTCGCCACATTGTTCGTCCGTTGTCACGGGGAGCTATGGGACCAAACAGCGAAGAACGCACAGTGGATCGAATTCCATCTGCGCCAATGATCAGCGGAGCCTGAAGAGAAAAACAACTTCAGTGCTGCCTTGAAGATGCTTTTAGACCTTCACGCTGTAGTGCTCCTCTCCCTTGGTAAAATGCGCAACTGAGCCATCTTCTTCCTGTAAGATCATGCTGATCAAGAAAACTAACGGGAAGATTCAGACTCTACCTGGCTGACACCAACGCACTGATAGCCTGTGTGCTTGCAAGCGTCCGGAAGTTCTTCCGAGAGTATTCTCAAAGCATGCTTCCACATGATTGCTATCATTGGATGACCATACTTTTGCTCCATTTGAGAGCTCAATGACCATTCTCCGAGCTGAAAACTAGCATCCGGAGGAACAATGCTCGATTTAGAGTCTGCGATACCTTCACGTCTCATCTGTTTGTTCATGCTTGATAAAAGAAAGAAAGAAAGAATGAAAGCGAGAACAATGTCTGACCTTTGTTACCAGCTCGGGACTTCCTTCGAAGAGTGCCCGGCATCCATTGGGAAACAATGAAATAAGTGTGCCTTCTCCTCCAGATATGATAGAATTTTTCTCATAAACCTGTGAAAGATTTGAGGAAAAAAAGTTTTAAAAGCGAGGAGCAAACCTGGGCATCGATTCCGCGCTTCCTTAGCTGAATAGCTGCTGCTAGACCTCCCAGTCCACCACCGACAATCACCGCATTCTTCACTTTGGCATCCTCAAATTCCATATCTAGCAGCTTAAAAGATGGTGCAGCAACACAGGCTACGAGTGGGAACTGGAGCAAGGGCATGGCTGCACATAGCAAGAGAAAGATAAAAAGATTATCCTGGAATGAGATGAAACAAACGTAATGGAAATTATGCTAAAGCTAAGATGAATGCTTCTTACTATAGTCTAGCAATGAAGGAGCCCCCCTCTCGAGACAAGAAACCTCTCGTTTTCCAACGAAATGTGAGCTATATATGCATGCCCAAGCAGAGAAAAGTACTTAGAACTTACTTCCTTTGATCTAGCTCCTGCTGCTTTACTTTCCTTTTCTCTCTGATCTGATCGATAACAATGGTGGCTGGATCAGTTGCAACGGAGCTGCAGATCAAGGTCCCCCTAGAGAGAGTCTGGAAAGCAATCAAGGACAGTAACAACATGTTTCCAAAGGCCTTACCCGACGCGTTCACGAGCGTGCAAACCGTCGAAGGGGATGGTAAAGTTGGCTCCGTTCGTCTAGTCCACTTTGGGCCTGGTACAGTTGCTCTGATCCGATAGTTTTGAAATCGAAGTCTGTCCGCTAACAAGTTCTTCTTCCTCGTGTATGTTGCAGCCATACCTCACGAGTACGCCAAAGAGAAGCTCGAGTCGCTGGACGAGAGCAATCACTCGGTAGTTCTGTCTACGATCGAGGGCGGTCCAATCGGTAGCCTGTTCAGCAGCCAGACAGCCACCATCAGCTTGAAGCCCGTGGAGGACTCCGGAACCAAAGTCACCTGGAGCATCGCGTATGACAGCCTCGTGGAGGATCCTCCCCTGGACAGGATGAAAGGGAACGCCGAGAAAATCATGCGAGGCGTCGAGGCCTACCTGCTGTCCAACAAGGATTACACCGAGTAAGTCAGCCAGGAACAAAGAATAAAAGTGCTGCTAAAATGAAAAGAACTTTCAATGCCTTCATTCTGTGTGAAAAGAAACCACGATCAAGGTCTAAGTTCTTGCGCGCGCTCGCTAGATGTCTTTGCCATCTCTGTCATTGCAAGGATCCTCTATACGGTGATAGAGTGCGCTCCCGGCCGTCTAGGCTCACGCAAAAGCTCGGCAGGAGGAGTTGGAGGCGGATTGTACAGCCTTCCTTGACGCTGCGACGTCTGTGAATTTGTGGATACTGGAACATCGCTATAGTGTTTCTGTTGTAGAAGAGCTTTCCAACCAGAATCTTCGTTTCAAGGCTGGCTGATACAACTCCGTGTGAGCTCTTGTTCTATATATAAACTTTCTTAAACACCAACATAATATTTCATGGGTTAAAATAAATAAGCAACTGGAAACACCTCGAGCAAAAGGAACAAAAGGTCCCTTTATGTTTCTTTAACTACTAGGGCTGGACCGGACGTCCTGGATTGATGTTTCACTGGATACTCTTTTTATTGCTCATATGCATTGTACACGCTTTACCGGTGCCACTATCGTCTCGTTTGATGTTTTGGCACCTCCATATCTTACAATTCTCCCCAAAAAAACATTCTAACATGTTATAAGAACCATGACCCCGGCTCCTCGGGCTCTAAATCAGGAAGGATCACACGCGAGCGAGCTAGAACGCCTGTTCCAGATTGAAAGTTGTCCAAGCCTCCTGAGAAACATAATAGCATTCGTGAGTGAGCCGGGCAAATCTTCAAACCGAACCTGTAAGAGATCGAATACTTTCTCTGCGATGTACTTGTGCTCCGTCGAGGCATTCTTTTGCTGAAGCTTGTCCGGGTGGACATACAAGGTAGCCTTCTTGTACGCCTTCCTTACAGACGTCGGTTCTATAATGTCGATCAATGATATTGCTTGCCATCCACACTCGGGCCACAAAATCTGCAGCATGCCAAAACGCTACAGAGTTTTGCATTCGGACAACAAAGCGCTTACGTATTGGAGGGTTGAAAGAAGTGCCCTGAGGTTGCCTTGTTTGCCAGCGGCCCATCTTTTAATGACGTCGTCCAGAAGCTCTGCAACTCTCTGCAACAAACGTGAAATAAGCAACCAACAAGTGAATGCAAGACAACAGAAGTACCTGTTTCTCTTCTTGAACCCTCTCAAGCTCCAGATCTCTGTTGTTTTTCTCAGCCAATGCCTTGGCCTGCACTTGAAGAAAGAACATTGAAGAAAGTATCTTGTCAACACCATCCTTACCACTCTTTCTACAGCCCGCTGATGACGTTCCAATCTAGACTTCCTGCGTTCGGGATGTTCTCCGTCAATCACCTCAAACTCTGTCCCTACGCCGGGAATTAGTACCACGAATGAGGCGAGGACAACAAAACGAGTTACCACAAAGAGATGACAAGTCGTCCGATAATACACACTTTGGTTGTTCTTCGGCACTCAATGAGGAGCTTGATGTTTCCTGGTCCAGTCACAAATAAGAAACAAGATATACGAGACATACGAAACAAAAAGATGATACCTCCAGGCTCGACTTGCTGCTTCCCACATTTAAAGCGCCAGTTCCCAGTTTCTTCTCCTCACTTTCACCAGATGACTGTTCCACAGCCACCTGTTCATGGTCGCCACTATCTTTCGGTATTTTCTGAACTTCAGCTTTTTGCTCCGCTGCACATCCCCCTCTCTCCGGTTTGGGCTCGGGGTCCGGATCCGGACTAACAGCATCTTTGGCGTAGCAATGATCGGAGTCTTCATCTTCGTAAGACCTACCCGACGGAGATGTCTTGATCGAGTTTGAAACGGACGGGCTTGACTCAGATACCGATCCCTGAGAAACCACATACTCCTCAGCGACCAGCCCATCCAGGTCCTTGATAGAATACTCCATAAACGCATCGGTTTCCAAGAAGTCAGACATATCCTTCTCGCTGAGGAAGTCGACGTTCTTAGATGGCGCGGGTCTCGCGGGTGGTAGAACAGTCGGCTCTGTCGTCAACTGTACGTGATTGACTGTAACGAAATTTACCTGTTTCTCTTTTTTGCTGAATCCGTCATCATAAGTGAAGCTGTCGGCTGCTTTCCTCGGAAAGCACTTGATCGAAGGGTCCGTTGACAGCTCAACCTCATAATCGAAGTCTTGCTCGGCCGCGGAAGAATCACAGAAAGGACTGCTCGTTGCTTGCGCGCTTCCAAAACTCTTCTGACCATTCGAAGCTGACGTCTGTCCTGGAACATGGCTGGCCTCTCGCCGCGTTCTAGAAGATCTCCTGTGCGATGATGTCTTGCTGCTGCGGTGTTTTCGATTAGTTTTATACGTGTGCCTCGTCGCAGTGGAAGCCTTTCTGAGGTACTCCTGCTCGGAAGACTCGCTGCTACTGGAGCTGGCAACTTCCAAGTCAACTTCACGTCCGAAAGTTTTCATCTTGGGCACAGCATCCCCGGCAGCGGGCACTTTCGAAACATTCTTGTACACTTTCTCGTAGCTGGCCACACCGACCGGATCTTTCGCACCTTTGGAGGCCCTCGTGCTGTACGAGTGCACTGTTGAGTCGTCAAATTGCTCCGTGAAAGGAGAGGACGTGGCCGAGACACTGGTTACGGCAGGCTGCTTACGATTGGATTCCAACTCCACAAATGTCTGCTGAGGGGACTTATCAACGGACCCCAGCGAGCTTTTGTGTGGACTGTTAAAGTGTTTGGCATCTCCATACACCCTGCACAAAACCAAGAGCGAATCAGCCACAACATGCCGGAAAGCTAGATAGAAGCGAAAAAACAAATAACAAACACGAGATGCTCCACGTCCAATCATGCAGCATTCAACCAGAAAAAGTGAGTGACAAACACAAGCTTCCAACTTGGCCTACAACTAGAGCTAAACTAACAGCACGTACTCTGATTCATACTCGAAGATTGGGTTCCCGTGGGGCTCGCGGCACATCGAGTGGATGGACGAGACCGGGCTGGAGTCGGATTGAGAGGAAAGCTTGGTTTTAACCCCCGGCTTTCTCTTGGCTTCCGCGAATCCAGAGCACCGCAGCAAATCCTTCAAGAGTTTCGTCCTTGGACCTGTGAGAGGACCCCCAAACACGTCGTCGTAAACGATCTCTTCCGCAGGAGGAGGAGAAGCAGCTGCTACAGGGATCTTGGGCAGCTCCTCGCTCGAGCCTTTAAACACCTCGCCAGTGTCGCGCTCCGGAACGGGCAGATCGAAGACTGGCAATTCCGTGGTGCGGGATTTCGTCTTGGAGGATTGCTGCTGGAAAGAGAAGGACGTGCTGCTGCTGCTGCTACTGCTTCGTTTGGATCCTCCCTGGAAGATGTCGTCATAGTCTGGAATGGCCGCATTCCTGCCAGTGGGAGCCGATGCGAGGTACTTTGGCGGCCCTCCAAAGACATCGCTGTATTCTATCCTGCCGCTACCTTTGATGCCGTGTTGATGCGAGGAAGAAGAACAAGGACGGCACGAATCGCAGCAAGAGGAAGAAGAGGAAGAGATATTCTTCTTCCCAATTCCTGGAGGTTTGATGCCGCCGCATCCACTGCTAACCCTATCCCCTGCCAAATCGCTGCTGTTCCTCCTGATTCCAGCTCCAGCCATGGCAGCTCCCGATCCAAAAGATGCTACTCGGGACGACGACGAGAAGGGACTTCGACAAGACGAGCCATCGGCGATATTACCACCCGCCGCCGCCGCTGCTGGCGATGGCGCAGGGCTGCGCTTGCCGCAACCTATCCCTAATCCTCCTTCTCCCGGGAATGCAGGCCAAGCAGCGCCGCCGGAAGCGTGCCGCCGCCTGGACGATCCGGACTGCGGAGGCAGCGGCGCCGCCTTGTCCGATCGCCTGATCGCCATAGCTGGAGCTTCCTCCATCGCCACCACACAACGAGCGCAAACAAAAATAATGGGCTCGAGACAGAGGTTTACACAGCCATTGGGAGAATGCCCAAATCTGAGCGGTAAATTTCTTACCGGGATGTCCGCCGTGGCGCCGTCTGGTTGGGCGGAGCTGCACACGTGGACAGATGCCCGCCGCGTGGCTACCACGCGGCCCTAATCGCATATACCGCGCATCTTGGGACCGATCACAAACGGATGAGAGAAAGTGATGTTTGGAATTTTTTTAGTTTCGCGCTGCGATCTCTTGTTTCTATGTAGCATGTACGGACGATTACGTAGACAGGACAATATGGGCCACCCCTGGCCCATCCAACCCAATAGAGCCATGTGTGTTTCACGCAAACGGTCGTGATTGGATGCTCCAAATTCACTCGTGTTCCTGACCGTCGATGGCCTGTTTTATCTCATCGCCCACCACCTTGGAAATGGTCTTGGATAGTTGGACTATATAGAAAAAGCTTTCCTGGAAATTTATATTTCCTTGGCCTTGCTTGGTTTGCACATCACATTCGGGCATTTTCTTGTGGTTTGCAATCGATACAAATGGGGAAAAGCGTGAAAAAATCACCACCTTTTGCTAGAGAGCCTGTGAGGGCCCCCATCACAACGAAACAAAGCAAAAATATACCTCTTCAAAGTCAAAAAAAAACTATGTACACGATCCCCCTAAGTATTGGTCGGCCAGCTTTTCTCCCTACCCAGATCGCAAGACCCCGAGTTCCATGCACGTACATTTTGGTGGTGGTGGTGGTGGTGGAAGTGGTCAATCAATATAGGCATTGGTGATTTTTGTTTCTTTGTTGCAGATTTCCTGGCCTGCCCAGGATCGATCGATCGATCTCGTCTATCTCTTCAAACCTCGGCCTTGTTTGATGGTGCTTGGACTGTTGCTATTGTTCCTTGTGTGACGGAGCGAGCTAATGTTTCTCCTCCAACACTGTTGTCATGTTTCATTTGGCCTGGGTGGGCTTCACAGCTTGGAGATAAAGATCCCACTGCTGTGGCTAAATGGCAACTATCTATTTTCTATAAGTCTAGCTTGAGTGGGCTTCTAGACAGAGATCGCCACAGACATTGCTTTCACTCACATCAGATAGGTAGATGCTGCGATTGGAATGGACACATTGAGAGGATACACAACAATCAAAAAAGTTAGCTGTCAATAACAACAATGTTGCTGGTGATGATCCTCCCCCTTTTTGGTAACACAATCAGACAATTCAATAGTGTCAGAGCACATGAAAGAAAAAAAATTGCCTGGCAAGAGAAAGTTCTTGCTTAAACATTAATAATAATAAAAAATAATAATTTATTTATTTAACTAATTATTACTCAACTCTTTACACTAAAATTATCACTCTTTCATTTGATTCACACAAAGGCTATAGGATAGGGAGACTGTTCTTTCTTTCCCACCTAAAATCCAACTAGTCAAACAACCAAGCCGTGTGCGCTCCACGCGTCCTGCCCTAATTGACTGCTTCCACTTCACTTTGCTGCTGATTAGATGGATAAATAGGGCACGCTTTCTTCGATCTTCTTCTCTTTTCTGGTTGCGGAGCTACTTTCCTTCTCTCGATCCGGCAGCTGAGATCTCTACGCACATTGCGAGCGCCGGATCGATCCATCGCCAGCCAGCAGCTATGTGTCCGCTGCGATTTATCCTCGTCTTCCTCTCCGCCACACTGGCAGGGTATTTCGCGTGGAAGAATTTGTGGGGCGCTAGCGCCGGCGACGACGAGGAGCAAATCGAAGAGGAAGACAGCGCCAAGCAACAGGAATCCTCGTCGCTGCTCGACAAGGTATGCAAATCTTCCCACTGTTACCGCAATGCGAAAAATCTCTCTTTTCTTCTTCTCAGGTTTGCTCCAAGACGAGTTTGTTCTTCTGGACGTTTGTAGACATGGCCAGCGGTCGCTACTTGTGGCAAAATCTAGTGGCCAAGCAAAGCAAAACCAGCTAATCTGATAGAGGTAGCGCTTCCATTTCTCACACAAAGTCATAGGCTATAGCTCATAGCGAAGAAAACTAAACAAGGAGCGTGATCCAGCGGTCGTGCATCCCACGCCCACATTCGTTGACAATTTCCTTCTAGCCAACATGTAAATCATCTTCTTCTTTTAGTAGAAAAGTTCGTCTTTTTTTTTTCCTCATTCATCCATTGTGGATTGACTCGCTCAATCTCGTGAGTCGTGAAGTAAAACTACTTAGATCCTCCGTAACACTTGTCTGTTCAGTGGTGCCTCCTATACCGAATAAAACAAAGGAGAGAAACAAAAGAGGATCAAGCTTGAAGAAAACTGCCAGGAGCTTCCTCCAAAGCTGAAAAGTATACCTCAGACTCTGGAACACTGCTACTATCATTCCCGCCATCGCCAAAACTTTGCCTTCCATCACCATCCTGCTGCTGCTGCTGCTGCTCACATTCCTGCTGGACGATCAAACGCTGGCCGTGCACATCCACCTCCGCCTGTGCTGCTACTTCTCTGCCTTCCCTCGCATCCTCCTGACCCAAACTTCCACCGTCTTCAAATGCCACACACCGGCCAGCGTTTGCCGGCGCAAACATGAACTCGGTCTGGCCCAAGTTCACCACCACCGTGATGTCACAGTCGGCTCCAACCACGGGAAACAAGTGTGGTGTCGTCGAAGGCATCGGGCCATCGGCACGAAACGTAAAGTCGGTCGTCATCTGCTGGCCACCATTGTGTGTGAAGTAGACGAGAGATCTGTCCAAGTCGTAGCCGCAGCCAACCGTGACCCCGACGTAGTTCCACCTCCTGCTCGTCGCAACACCGTCGTGAGGATCGTTGATGTAGACGCTGCCATTGGAGTGGTAGCCGAGAGAGACCAAGTCGAGGCCTGGGAGACGGAACGGAGGTGCTGGTCTCGCTGCCAGGCCGATACCAACACGTCCGCTGATAGAGCCCGAGCTCCTTCCGTTTTTTCCATTGCGAGAGAAGCTAAGGATTGTCATCTCGAAATAGTTGACGTTGGGAAGACAGTTTGGCGGATGAGCACTCGGAGACAGTGGAAGGAGACACTGGAGAGACTGACAACGTCGGAGACGAGCACATCCCGGATTCAACCGAATTTGCTGCAAAGGCTGGCCGGTGGTGCTCCTCAAACAACCCGAAACCGGTGGAATCGACTGAAAGATCGCTGTGCTTAAGCCGTTGAGCTCGTCTGGAATGCCCCTGTACACGAACTGCCAAGCCGACCACGAGAGCGCGTGCTGTCCGAGCTCCTCTTCCTCGTTGAAAGGCATGAACAAGTTGTAGGCACGCCACTGCTCGGCAAACATGAGACTGTGCGTGGCAGCTGCCTTGGAGCGCATGTCTCTGATCCGCTTGGCACCATAGCAAATGCAGCAAAGTGGTCCACAGATGAGCAGAGCGATGAAGGCCGAGAAACTACCAAGGATGATTGCCAGACGTATGTCTCGCTTCCTGTTCCTGTTGGACTGATCTTGGCCATCTTCTACACTCAGTTCCGCTTCCACTAGCCTGCTGTAATCGGAACAATCCAAACATCCTTCTCCTCCTTTTCCTCCTCTTGCTTTGACGACGATCGACTTCACAGACTCTAGCGACGCGCTGCTGCTACCACCCTGCTTTGCTGATGAAGTTGTGACGCATACGAGTACCAGGAAAATGACGCAAACACATCCTTCATTCATTCAGTGGCCGGCCTGGAGGGTGAGTGTGCCTGAGATTGACAATTCTCTCATCCCTTGCCAACGCGCGAGGGATGAAAAGAGCAATGCGCGACCAGTGGATGACTTGGCATTCCACGTGTCGTGAATCTTATGACATACACGCAGCACTGCATTCCTGAAAAACCATGAAAACAGTCAAGCAGCATTCCAAATAGAGATCTTTGGCTGGCTTACCAGATTTTCTCGGCTCCACAAACAAACAAAAGAAATACTCTGAACGATCCAACACCTCGCAAGTTGAAAAGAATAAAAAGAAAGTGAAAGACCAAAACGAACTAAACCTTCAAGCTTTTGCTGGAGAAGACGTCATGCAGGACAGCAGCCGACCTTCTTGGTTGCAGTCACGTCGTCTTTGCTCACGTTGATCGTCTGGCCCTTGCCGGGAACAGCCGATGGATCCTCACCAACATCCAGAGCTTTCTTACTCACGACGCGGTAGATCTGCGTGAGTATCTGCTTGAACGAGTTCTCCACATTGACGGACTCGAGTGCCGAGGTCTCCATGAAGTAGAGGCCTTCCTTCTCGGAGTAAGCCTGGCCATCTTCGGTGGAAACGCAGCGGAGGTGGCGGAGATCGGACTTGTTGCCAACGAGCATGACGACGATGTTGGAATCGGTGTGGTCCTTGAGCTCCTTGAGCCATCTCTCAACGTTCTCGAAAGTAACCAGCCGGGTAACGTCATAGACGAGCAACGCTCCCACAGCTCCTCGGTAGTAAGCACTGGTGATAGCTCGATACCTGTATGAAAGTCCGGAAAGGAAAAAAAAGAAGAAGAGAGAAATCGTGTGAGTTCTTTGCTGTTCTTCGTAGTTCCAAACTCGTGATACTAGAAGAAAAAAAAAACGATGTTGTCTAGCTCTACTACAAAGAAGAAAAAAAACTGGGAAGAAAGGAAGTGAAAGAAGAGGGAACGCACCTTTCTTGGCCTGCAGTGTCCCAGATTTGCGCCTTGATGAGCTTCCCATCCACATTGATGCTGCGCGTCGCAAACTCGACGCCAATCGTCGATTTGGACTCCAAGCTAAACTCGTTCCGGGTGAATCGTGACAGAAGATTGGATTTTCCCACACCGGAGTCCCCGATCAAAACTACCTTGAACAGATAATCGTAATCGTCCTCGGATCTGTACGCCATGGCAGCACAAATCCCTCCTTTGTGCTCGCTTTCTACCCTAAATCCCGACAGCAGCTCAAAGAAGCGAAGGCTTGCGCTCCCGTTACAAGAAATGGAAACGGCCGCGGTGCGTCGCCAAGAAGAGCCCTAGAAACCCCTGCATTTGCCGATCGTCAGTCGAGGCAACTCCTATTTGAAAATTTTCCTACTCTTCTCACCCAAGAACCCTAACAAAATCGGAACCGTTGGTGACACTCTCAACGGCTAGGATGGGTCCATGTGGCAAACGCACGCTAGGGCGCATGGCTTATTCTCTTGGTGTTTTTGGAGCAGCAGTAGCGTGCAAGGTGTGCGCGCGTGACTGATTTTGAGTGACTTGATTGATCCTTGGCAGGCACGCATTCCGATCACAGTGATCGCGAGATCCATGTCGTCGCAGTCTTCGCAAGCGAGCGATGGTAAGAATAAAATTTTCTTCCTTTGCTCAAAGCAAAGATTGGTTGATTTCCTTTGCCCAGAAATTATCAGTGATCTTTCCAAAAAGAAATGTGTTCCGTGCGATTCCAAAAACTTGAGGCCAATGTCAGAGGAATCTGCAAAGGAGCTGCTCCATCAGGTGCGTTCGTTTTTAAGACTTGGTCGAGGATCTTTTCTTCTTTCCTTTTCTTCTTTAGGCACCGGGATGGAAGATCGAGCAAGTTGATGGCAAGCTGGAGCTCCAGAGGAGCTGGAGAACAAAAAGTTTTATCAAAGGGATTGAATTCTTCAAGCTCGTGAGTGATGTCGCTGAAGCAGAAGGTAAGAAACTCTTTTTCTCTTTGATTTTGTTTTCCATCTCTGTTTTGTTTCAGGCCACCACCCGGATCTCCACCTTACTGGCTACAACAACGTGAGAATCAACATATCCACGCATTCTGCTGGTTAGTTTGATGCGAACTCCAATAGCTTTCTCAAATTCTGTGTGCTCTACCAGGTGGCTTGACAGAGAATGACTTCATTCTAGCAGCCAAGATCGGGGCTTTGGATGCGAGCGACTTGTTTAGAAAGCCAAAAGTATGAGAGAACGCGGTACGTTTTAGAATCTTCCAGTTTCCTAGAAGCTATCAGAGATAAACTCTTCATCGTGCTCAGCTCTAATCAGAGCACGGTACTTGTGCCACTTTTTCTTCTTGTTGGGTAATATCGCTTTCCCTCTTTGCCACTGCGTCATGGTATGCTCGTATCTCCAGATCATCCAGGCGAAGAAAATGTTTTACTCCGTGCATCGCCACTTTCCTTGTGCTTGGACCATACAAGCACAAGATGTCTGTCAATGGCTCCATGTCAATCCTGTCGCTAGCACATTCGTATACGTAACCGGCAACTTGGATGTGTGGGATACACAAAGACCATGGAAGGAGGATACTGTTCTTCCAGCTCTGAAAGAGCAGAGCAACTCAAAGCAAGGATCTACAGCTGATATCTCGGCTGAGAATGATCCCATCTCACGCGCAGTTATCTTCCGGGAGAATGCAATCATCCAGATACTGATTCAGCCTGTTCAAAAGCTTCTCTTTCGTGTGATCTTCGACATTCTCGAAGGCTTTGGAGAAGTGAGATTGTAAGAAACTTTCCATGCGCGTCGGGCAAGCTTGGGATGCCTTTGCAAAACTGGATCTTTATGTGACAGGAGATCTTTTCACAGTCCGGTTCGACGGAGGTGAAGGTCCCTTCTTTCATTGTTTTGCCCACCGGGTTTACAAAACTCCGATTTGACACTTATTTAGAGAGCCTCGACTCGGCTCTGAGAAGACTCATCCTCTGCAATAGAGAGACCCCCGCTGGGGCAGAAGGTGATGGTGTAACCCCCACCGGAACCACAGGTGAAGGTGCTGGTCGCGTCGTCGTAGGCGTAGCTATATGCCTGCGGGCACGCGTCTTTGAAAATCCGGGAGAAGTACGTCGGACTGCACGTCTCGGGCCTGTTGTGCGACCCCGTGCAGCAGAACTCCTCGCTGTGGAACACCTCGCAAGCGCTCTTGCAGCCGATGACCCAGTTATCCTTGCGCACCTGTATTGCTCGAGCTTAGAAACTAATCCCGGAAACTGATGCTTGTACCTGGAGCTCTTTAGGACAGCGGGCATTCACGTCGCTGTGACACCCGGCCGAGGCGCAGTTGTACTCGGGGTTGATTCGCAGCGGTAAGTTGTAGCCGTCGACCAGAGACACGTCGTAGTAGTCGAGGCCGGCGAAACCATTGAGCTGGAACTCGGCCAGGGTGGCGGGCGTGACACCACCCGAGTTGCCGCAGTTGAGTTTGTCGCCACAGTCGCCCGAGTCGCAGTGACCACGGCCGCTACCGTCGAAGTTGCAGCCCCTGCGTCCCCAGAACCGGCCCGCCCAGCCCGAGCCCGGGTAGAGGTCGTAAGATTGCCACGATTCCAAACGGGCACCCCCACCCCCGAGTTGCGGCTTGCCGGAGTTTGAAATCCAGCCGGGCCACACTGTGAAGGGGCAGGCGTTGTAGAGGCGGATTCGGACGCCGTGCACACCTGCATGGAACGAAGAACATCAATTGAGAAAATAATGCTCTTGCGAAGAACTGCCTAGAAATCCCTCGGATTAGGAATTGGAAGAACGACAATCATGTTTAAGCTGTGTTCATGCTAGAATGCAAGACTTTGAAATTCAGTGCAGCTAAGTACCTTCAAGTGTGAGGAGAACAATAGCCAAGATAGCCAGCGTGTTCACTCGAGAGAGCTCCATGCCTCTATCCAGTATAGGAATTCTCGCTCCGAGATTAATAGCAGGATAGGTGCCGCCCACTTTGACCACTATTTCAGTTTAAAATGCCACCGAGATGTCATTTGCGGGAATAATGATCAACAAAGGCTGCAAATTGCACCCAAGAGTCATCGAAACATGATCGAATTTGGATCAGAGCGGTAGGAGGATGTGGGGTATAGTCTTGAGTGTTTCTTGCGTTGACACGGCTTCTTTTCAGACTTCGTGAAAAATGGGAAGGTTTAGCATTTATATCTAACTAATATAGATGTTACATGTGGTATACATATAAGATGTAACATATAGTCATACAGAATATGAATATAATTAATTTTAATCTAAAGTAACTTGTAAATTGCCATTTAAGCTTCCTTTAAACAGTTTTCTTTTGGCATATTAATTATTTATTTATATTAATATTTAATTATATATTATCATTTATAGACTTATATATTATTCTCATCAGAAATTATTCTAAAACCTCATAAAATATACTTATTCCTAAATTTCATATAAATTATTTAGTTTTTTATTTATAAGTTTTAATAATATCTTAGTATAGCCCAAAAGTGACTCCAATATTTATGAAAAAAGTCTAGTTGTCCACAAAAGAAGGTTGATGAAATTCCTAAGGCACAAACCACTATTTTTGCTAATTGTAATAATAAGTGATTTGTGGAGGTAATTGATAAAGAGAACACATAATAAAGCTATAATAATAGTGTCAATTTAGAGCTAAACAACCTTTCCATCATGCTTATGATTTATAAACTTATTGAAGTTATGCAACACCTTTCTAATGGATTTAATTCCTCAATATTAAATCCATACATTATAGTTTAAAATCACTAACCTTTAAAAGTAGTTGATCTGTAAGAAGTCAGGAGCAAAGAAGTTAAATAAAAAGTTGCTTATAGCAAAAGATCACATTGCAACTCTCATAAATACCATTAATTAAATAACCATTATTGATATGTAGAAAAATAAAAAGTTAACACATATGGCTCTTAATCAAATTTTTTCCATAGAAGCTTTCTACTATAATAATATACCCTGTCAAGGTGATAGAAATTACTAAACTAAAAGCACCTAAAAAATGTCTACTCTAGCCTCATGCATTAATAGATGTATAGATCACAATAGTCTAAATAACATATACCTTCTTTAGTTAGAAGTCTTGGATGAAACTAACTTTTTCACTTATGGTTGTGATTATTTTTTGCGTTTATCACGTGTCATGAAGATATTGAAGATGAATAACTTCTAAAAATGCATGGTGTGCAATTATAAATTCCACAATGACATGTATATGCTCTTTGGGTTGGCAATAGTAATTGTCAAAAAGAAATTGAAAAAGACCACTTGCCTCTTGATGCCACATAAAGATGGTTAAATTTAGATTTTCAAAAAGCTAGAGGACTATTTAGTATTTGAATGGGACAAAATGAAATATCTCTACCGAATGACTTTTCGCTTGTATAAGTAATTATTTAGTCATCTATTTCATAGATGGCTATATAATTTATTTTATGAATTTTTTCTTATATATGTGACAAAGTAAACAATTGGACATTAAAGGATTTGACAAATGCTTTTAAGTATATTTAAATTTTATTATTGAGTGTGTTGTTACTTAAAAATATAACTGCATACTAAATATGATCATGTGTTAACAAGAAGAAATAAAGATTACAAAAAGATATGCAGTATGTATTTAGTTTAAATTTATAATTAAACTAGAAATCAGTTTATGTTTACTTTTTTTTCTTTATAATATTAGCAATGGCAAAAACTTGAGCAATTGGACAAAATTATAAATTACCATTGTAAAGGAAATTTTAATGTTGTTTTTATTGCAACTTTTTCAAATGAAAAGATAAAGATAATAGTTGAAGCTATTAAGGTAGAGGTTAATGTTATTGAGGTAGTGGTTGATGCAATGGAAGTAAAGGTTATGATTTGAAATGATATTAGGGTTATAATAATTATATCAAACTTGATTGGTATTGACCCTTATATGAATTTTTAAGCCTCCTCCATTGAATTGAACTTTGGGTTAGAATACTTATTAATTTATAATAACAAATGCTAGATAAGTTAGAGATTAAAAGAAAGATATATTCTAGCTTTTATAAGTAAATCTTTAGAACACATCTTTTCATTACTACATAATATTTGTAATCTGTATTGTTTGTAATATTGTTGTTTATAAGCTTATGATAAATTAACAATCCTTGAACAATACTTTAGGCAAGTTTCAAGATTGCTAGTAGCATTTTAACACTTTATTAAATCACTTGCTAGTGAAATAACATTTAATTAGTCCTACAACCATCAATAAATTACTAAAATCAATCTTGTAAATAGTTTTATTATTTTAATTTAAGGGCTTTATGGACTTGAAAAGTCTTTTGACTTGATATAAAGCCTATTAGAAAGCTCTCCCGACAAGCATCCTTCCCATCATTTTCTATCAAATAGCATTTGGCATGTCGGGAAGAAAGTTTGAAAAAACATTTCATTGGGAATATTTTTATTTCTTATTAGGAATTTTTTTCTATTGTCAAAAGAATTTCTGCTGATGGGAAGAAAATGAAATTTTAGATCCATCAGAAGGTCTTAAAGGTGCTTCCAAAAGGATCCATCAGGAGAAAAATCATGAAGAAAAGTTTTTAATAAACACTGTTAGGGTTTATTCTCTTAACAAAAGAATTTACATTCTATTGGCAGAAAAAAAAATTTTGTCATTAGAAAATATTAGAATATTTTCCTGACATATTTTCTCATTCTAGCATATTGTTTAGGACTTTTTGACATAGCCAATTTGGCCTGCTACATCATGACCATGTAATCAAAATAAATATCTTAAGAACTCTCTTGTTGGGAAGAACCCATTAGGATTCTCTTGTTGGGAAGTCCCAATAGAAATATATAATGAAACAAGTGTTGAAGGATTGCAAACCCAAACCTGTGTGGCAATCTTATTATTCTATAATGATGAATGTTTACATCAGTAGGATCTCAACCATTAAATTAAGAATATGCTAGAACATATTTTTTCTAATCCAAATGGTTGGAAATGCCATTCACATATGTGAGATGCAAGCCAAGAGGGAATATATATGGGAGATTCTACCACTTTTTTCCCTATTCAAGCCTATGAGGGTACAAAAGAATTTTGAGAATAAAATGGCCAATTTAGCTTAAACCTTCTCTCTCTACCTCAGATTTCGTGCTGTTGACGTCTTTAGGATCCTGCCAGCTGCATTCCACTAAATTTATGAGGAGAAAACTTTGGTTGTGAACTCATAAAGGTAAGTATTGCTTCTAGAATGAAGGGATGCAAGTTTGTTTGTCGTCAAAAGCAAAGACAATACTGAAAAGGCCCCAAATCCTCCATTGGGAATGTACGTGTGAGAGGTTGAACTCATGCTTAAAATATTTTTGGTTTTGCATATCCTTGACTTGCACAAGAATTATTAGTTGATGTTTGAAGAATGTATGGTCTTCTCGTGTGGTGGGGGTGACCGTCATCAAAGGGTGAGTTCTATTAGTTTTGATGGTTGAAGAGAAAACCTAGTGTTTGCTTCTCCAAGGCGCTGGAATTCGTCCAGGAACATGCCGATTTCTTGGGAGGCGAAAGGTCGCTGTATGGGCTCTTCCTCTTCTTATCTACAGGTAAGCCAAGCTTTAACTCACAAGAACTTTGACAAGTGCTTTGCTTTGCAAGGTTATGCCTGTGCTCAAGCCACAAATCGCGTGGAGGTGGAGCCGTTCATAGTACCGGCAGTAGACTTGATAGGATTTGGTGACGAAGATTGGGTGCTCGAAGTTGCCAGGCTCTTGCAAGGCTACGAGTTTGTAGACCATTACGACTACAGCCAAGAGACAAGGAGCTTCCCCTTTGTGGGGAATGGGTAATGTGGAGGAGGAAAGCTCAGTTCCAGCAGAAGGGTCGTTTGCTTACAACTTTACTGATAAGGATGGAGTGGCAAAGGTTGCACGCTTTCATCTGGTTGGAGATGGTCTTGAGCGGCCTCCCAAAGAAGATGGTGTGGAAGACGAGTTTGCTCTGGTTATAGGATGCAAATTGAGAAACGCTAGAAAGGCATTGCAAGTCGATCTTTGAGCAACACACTGCTTTTGGCGCCTTGGACCACGTAGAAACTTTAATCGGACGCAAATGTAATGCGGGCAATGTAAAGATACGTATCCAGCGAGGAGACCTTCTAGAGCATGTCAGGAGTTTTCAGTGCCAACCCCCACATTTATGTGGATTCACAAAAACACTGTCAGTCTCGATCAGTCTTGACGGATTCTCGCTCCCGAGGAGAAGATCATGTCAACTGTGATAGGAGAAAAAGTATTGAAGGGCTGCTGAGGACCATGTCAAATATGTCTACTTCCTAAACGCGGGCTTGAGTGAAATCCCGCCGTTGCTTGGACATATCGGACGGCGGCCATGAAGCGCGGGAATGCTTGCACACGTGGCGCGATTGGGGGCCGTTGAAGTGGGGAGCCTTTTTTCTTTCTTACGCTGGAGAAAGGGTGACGATGGCGGGGCGTGAGGTTTATTTAGGGTTCTTGCGCGACTTGTGTGACGCTTGTCCCACCTGGCGTCCTTTCTCGCGTCGAACGATAGGCACTTCCGAGAATGCGGCCATTTTGACCGATTCCAGGCGATGCTTGCTACAGCCGGCGGTGCTGCCGCGTTTTGTTTTCTTCGATTGGGCTCGGCAGCGGCAGCGCATGACTCCGCATCCCGGAAAATGGATCGATCGGCAAGGTTTCGAATTGGAGCTGTGGCTTTACTTCTTTGGATGGCGCTGGGATTTGTCCAGTCCGTGACGGATTCGTCCGAGGGTAAGTGCTCGAAATTTCAATCGATTTTCTCATTTTATCTTTTCCTTGGTTTTCTTGGTTGGGTGTGGCAGTCGCGGCGTTGAGGGCATTTCAGGACAGAATTGTGGACAATAACGCAAGGCTCGAGAATTGGTGGGGTAACGATCCTTGCGGGAATGGCACAAACTGGGAAGGCGTGTTTTGCGAGCGCGATTCGAGAAATATCTTTCACGTTGTGGAGTTGTAAGTCTAAAGTCGTGCTCCATCATTGTAAAACTGACCAGAAATTTTCTTTTTCTTAGGCGGCTCTTGAATCATCAACTGTCTGGCACTTTAGCTCCAGAACTTGGAAATCTTCGACGGCTCAGGATCTTGTAAGTGTTTTTTTTCTCTATTTTCTCTTAAGCTTATGCGAAGTCACGTTTTCGTTTTCTGTTGCGAAGGGATGTTATGTGGAACGATTTCACTGGGAGCATCCCGCCCACTTTTGGCATGTTGGAGAACCTTGACCTCCTGTAAGGGTGCTGTTTTTTTTTTTTTTTTTTTCCGATTAGCTATTATATGTGAATTTGCAGCTTGCTAAACGGTAACAAGCTTACTGGCGAGCTGCCATGGGAGCTTGGAAATCTTACAAGGATGAACAGGATACAAATCGATCAAAACAATATCACTGGTCCAATTCCTCCTACATTTGGAAATCTGACCAGCGCTAAGCACTTGTGAGTCTTAATGCGTGTTTCTATTGAACTGTTGATAACGCGGTGACAGCCACATGAACAACAACTCCCTAACCGGAAGTATTCCACCGGATATTGGGAGGCTTCCAAATATTGTCCACATGTGAGTGTTTTCTGTTTCTTATCCTCGATGTGTTCTTTTGATGTTTTTGTGATTGGCAGTTTGCTTGATAATAACAAGCTTGAGGGAAGGCTACCGGTAGAGCTTTCGAACCTTAGAAACACGCTGCTTATTCTGTAAGAATACAATATATTAACTCTTGTAAACTTGAGCTCATGATGTTGCAGGCAGCTGGACAATAATCGCTTCGCTGACGATGCCGTGATCCCGGCGGAGTATGGAACTCTTCAAAATCTATTTAAGATGTGAGTTAGCGTGCGTTATATCGTCTGGCCGCAGGTCATAACACCTGTGTGACCTACAGAAGCTTGAGAAACTGTAACATACAAGGACAGGTTCCAGATCTTAGCAGGATTTCACAGCTTGGATACTTGTAAGTTTGTTAGCTGTGGTTTTTATTTGTGACTGATTTTAAAACAGGGACTTGAGCAACAACAACTTGACAGGAGAGATACCAAACACGGGGATATCGTCAAACATTACGTCGATGTTAGTAAGACATTTATTTTCCTGGTGCGATTAAAGTTTTGTTCTTTCAGAGATCTGTCCAACAACTCCTTATCCGGAAACATTCCGTCCAGCTTTAACAATCTACCGAACCTTCAAGCACTGTAAGCTGTACTTTTGAGAATGCTTTATCTTCTAAACTTTCGTCCTACAGTATCCTCCACGACAACCACCTTAATGGATCTGTTGATGGAGCTTTAATTGCCGGATTAAGAAACTCGTCACTAAGGCTTCTTTTGTAAGGAAAGGCCTCAAGATTTTTTAGTCTTAAAATGTCTGCCCTGCAGGGACTTCCAGAGCAACTCGTTTTCCAACGTCGATCCAAGCTTGGTAGCAAACATTTCAGCTTCGTCTGGAATGTATAGTGCCTGGTAAGTCATCTATAACATAGGAACATGTTCATTGTTCATTGCTGTTAATTACTTACAGGCTGGGTGGAAATCCTGTGTGTCAAAATACGTCACGGAGTCTTTCGCCCGTCTGCCAGTCCGGTACTCTTGTTTCACAAACTGCTCAAGACAATGGATTTGGAAACAATCGAAGTGAAAGTTGCACTGGTTTGTGTGATCCGAATAGTGAACTGATCCCAGCGCTTGCCGTTCGTGGCCAGTGCGTTTGTGCTTCACCGGCCGTGGTTGCGTACAGATTGAAAAGTCCAGGTTTTACATTTTTCGATCGCTACATCAATCGCTTCGAAGGTTATATATCTAGCGGGCTCAATCTCACCCGAGACCAGGTATTTCTCAAAGGATTTAGGTGGGAAAAGGGACCCAGGCTGGCAATGAACATCAGTTTCTACCCGCCGGTACAAAACAGAACAAATAACGTGTCCGAGTTGAGGAGGCTGTATCATGCATTCGGTGGATGGTTAATCCCTGACGACGACGTCTTTGGGCCGTACGAGTTCCTCGGTTTCACTCCTCCATTTGGAATTGGTAAGCCTGTCGGCTGATGCGTTGTTTGCTAACGATCGCTGGTTATGTGCCTAGATCTATACGACATCATCCCACGGCCAGAGAAGAAAAAGCTCACTGCGGGTGCTATAGCAGGGATACTGATTGCTGTCGTCGCAGTAACTGCAGCAGTCGTAGGAACAGTGGTGTTTTTCCTAGCACGAAGGAGGAGCAAACGCATGGGAAAGTCAAGCAGAAAACGAATTATCAGTAAGTCTTACTATTTCTTATTTTGACACTCATTTGAAATCTCTGATTTATTCAAAACTTGCAGCGGACAAGCGCGAGCTTAACGAAATGCTGAAGGTGGCAGGAGTGAAGTCGTTCTCGTACGGCGAAATGCTAGCGGCGACAGCATCATTCGATGATGCAAGGCTGGTTGGCCAAGGTGGTTATGGAAAGGTTTATAGAGGCGTTCTATCCGATGGTCACGTTGTTGCGGTGAAACGAGCTGAGGAAGGATCCTTACAAGGGACTCACGAGTTTTACACAGAGATAGAACTCTTGTCAAGGGTGCATCACAGGAATTTGTTGTCCTTGGTTGGCTACTGTGACGACGAAGGCGAGCAGGTCTGTTGTTTGATTTTTGATGATCAAGAAACACTGACTATCTTGCTTTCATTCTCCATAGATGCTTGTTTACGAGTTCATGGAAGGAGGGACTTTACGAGAGAGGCTATCACGTACGTTTATACAGCTTTTGTACTGCCCCATAATTGTTTACGAGCTTGTGTTTTTGTTTCAGCAACTATCAAGCTTCCTTTAGACTTCGCAACCCGGTTACGAATTGCTTTGGGATCAGCACGGGGAATTCTGTATCTCCATACTGAAGCCAATCCTCCCATCTTCCATCGGGACATAAAAGCGAGCAACATTTTGCTGGATGGCAAGAACATCCCCAAAGTTGCCGACTTTGGTTTATCACGGCTTGCTCCTTCGCCTGATTTGGATGGCGTGACACCTGGTCACGTCTCCACTGTAGTCAAGGGAACTCCGGTACGAGTTATCGCATTCTCCTCGCAGTTTTTGACATGTCTGTGATGCACAGGGGTATCTGGATCCAGAGTACTTCTTGACGCGGAAGCTCACAGATAAAAGCGATGTGTATAGCTTTGGTGTGGTGTTGATGGAACTCGTGACTGGAATGCATCCGATTTCGCAAGGCAAGAATCTCGTGAGAGAGGTAAGCTTTTCCGTGTTTTCTTTCACGAGCAACGCTGACGGACATGATGCTCTAGGTGACTGCCACATATCAAGCAGGGATGGTGCTTTCGATAGTAGACCAAAGAATGGGAAGCTACCCGTCCGAGGGGCTGGAGCCAATGTTAAGACTGGCTCTCAACTGTGTCAAGGAGAATCCAAACGACCGGCCATCCATGGGAGAAGTTGTGCGAGATCTAGACGACTTGTGGCGATCGATGCCGTGGTCCGACGCCTTCTCCACCTTCGACGATCACCACCAGAGCAAATCCAGGAGCGACGAGAGCGCGCGACCCAGGGACCTGTACAATGAGTTGTATGTGTCCTCCAACGCGGTGGAGGAAAGTGGCTTGTTTAGTGGAACCATCCACGCGGTGGCTCCAAGGTAAAAGTACTCACTCGTGTAGAGTTTGTAAGACTGTTTGCCAACGGCTATACACAGTAAAAAAGAAAAGAAAAAAAGCATAGGACAAAGTTTCATGATCTTCAGAAAAAAGAGAAATTCGTGCGTATCTTGTTGTCATGCTAAGAAATGACAAAAGGTGGTGGAGACTGAGGTCAGTAGTGGTGGTGCCTGTCTTGCTCTTATTGGCTGGGCTTGGATGCAGTGGCAGTTGCCCAAAGATTTTCAATGATGGTATTACATTGGTTTTTCATTTTACCTTCTTTTTTATAAGTCAATTTTGTCTTGGGTGGAGAGCCTAGATGACCTTTGAGTCGCCCTGCCACATTCTGCGTTCCACCAACAAGTTCAACACGATCCGCTTTGCCACTTCGTTCCGGATACCGGATCATCAGAAAGAACGATGCAGAACGAGAGCGGTGCTGTTGAAGTGCGGGTGTCTCCTGAACCCATCCGAGAGAGAGATGAGCAGCAAGGGGAAGAGCAGCAGCAGCAGCAGCAGCAACAGCAGCAACATTGGTCGAAATGGTTCTTATTCCAAGACCCTCGAAGATTGATCCATGCCGCCAAGGTTGGACTGGCGCTGAGCTTGAGCTCGCTCTTCATGCTGGTGGAAGAGCCACCCAGACTCCTGGGCGAGAATGCGATCTGGGCGATCAAGACCGTGGTGGTAGTGTTCGAGTTTACTGTGGGTATCATGACCGTGGTGGTAGTGTTCGAGTTTACTGTGGGTATGTGGAAAAGCGGGTCTTTGTTTTTCTTCCCGAGCCAGGCAGCTTAAATCTTGTTTGCCAGGTGCTACGCTAAGCAAGGGGCTTAACAGAGGCCTGGGAACACTTGCAGCGGCATTTCTGGGACTGGGCATCGCCCACTTGGCCGATTTCTGTGGCCACATTGGAGAAGCATCTATCATCATCACATCGGTGTTCTTGGCAGGTATAAATCCCTCTTTTCTTTCTTTCTGCTACAAGAGACGAGTCGACAGGTGCCGTGGCAACTTTCCTGCGCTTCATCCCGAAGCTCAAGGCCAAATATGACTACGGTCTGCTCATCTTCATGCTCACTTTCAGTCTTATCAGCGTCTCCAGCTACCAAACGTCCGAAACCTCGTTCAAAACAGCCTCCACTCGGATGTTTACGATCCTGGTGGGCTGTGGCATCAGCCTGGTTATATGCATGTTTCTTTTCCCAGTCTGGGCTGGAGAGGATCTCCACGCTCTCTCCTCTCGCAACTTCGAAACTCTCGCTGATTGTCTACAAGGTATAAATCTAAGAAGCATTTGTTTATACTTTTGTCACCGTCAATGCCTTGTCTCTTTCAATGTCAGGCTCGGTCGAGGAGTATCTCAAGATTCCAGAGACTACAATGCAAGCCGTGATGGAAAAGGAGATCCAAAACCGGGCTGACAACGACGACATCTACGTAAAATACCGAGCTCTGCTGTCGTCCAGCCAGACGGAAGAGTCTCTGGTGCGTATGAGATAAGAAAATCTAAACAGTGCCGATCAATCAACACATGCTGATCAATGTTCTCTTTTGTCATCTTTGATCGTGCCAGGCCAACTTTGCAGGATGGGAGCCACCTCACGGAAAGTTTCTCAAGTGTGGCTATCCCTGGCCGCACTATGTTAAAGTTGGCGCGGCCCTTCGGCACTGCGCGTATGCTTCCATGGCACTACACGGCTGCGTACGAGCAGAAGTCCAGGTACGTGAATAGCACTGATAAAGATATTAGTTCAACACACATTCGAATGCTCAGGCACCATATGAGTTGCGACAAGTGTTTGGCACCGAAATCCTGAAAGTGACCAAGAGCGCGACAGAGCTACTGCGGCAAGTGAGCGTCAACATCCGGAACATGGAGCACTGCCAGGAGAATGTGGACGCGCTGCTCGTACAAATGACAGCCTCGACGGAATCTCTGCAGGAATTCATCGACGCCCACTCGCACCTCTTCATACACCCGACCATGGCCACCGCCATGATCGCTACCCGCAAGCCCAGCAACACTCCGCCAACTTTCGAGTACAGCACCGACCCCGAAAGTCCGTTCTCTAACAGCAGCGCCATCGATCCGGCACCACGAACCATCCATCGCCTGGCAACAATGGGAAGCTACACGTCGCTGAGCATGCAGTCCATCCGGAGCGCGAGCAACTTCTCGGTGGCGACTTTCACGTCGCTACTGATCGAGACGGTGGCGAGGCTGGAAAACCTGGTGGAGGCGGCCGAGTGCCTGGCGGAGCTGGCCAGATTCAAGGAGGTGACAAGCGCAAGCCAGCAAAAGATTCATCGCCGGGAGAGCTTTCTCAGCTCCGTGGCCGACGAGGACATTGTACGCAGGTCGAGCGCACCAAACACCAGCACGGAGTAGAAACCATATGATATAGTTAGTATTATCAATAAAGAAATCGAATCAGTCGCCAACAAAGAACAAGATAGAAACGCTCGAAAGTTCATGTGCTGGCGGTCATGCTTAGCTGCAGAGATCAAGTTGGCGTTATGCTTAGCATCCATTGTTGCAGAAAAACCACTGATAGATATTGTTTTCTCTTCTGTCCCTTCTTCATTCATCGCACAATCAAACTTTCTCTCATCTTATTGATGGCAGCACTTGTCCTTTTTCTCGATTTTCTTTCGCTGCCTCGTGTCGGCCTTGGCGTCCGTCTTGTGCCCGCAGAACGGAACCGTGATCTCGTCCGGAAACAGAGTGGCAGACTCGAAATCGTCCGAGAACAGCACGGCCACAAACTTTGCTCCAAACCTCTTTCCAAACTCTTTTGCAAAGTCGCGGTAGACTGTCACCACCATCTCCTTGGTCACGTCGATAAAGACGTAGGCTTTGAGCTGTTTTTTCTTGCGCATGCTGTGGTACCTCTCGCCCTCCATAACTTTAGCATTCAGATCCCTCTTCCGCAACACCTCGGTCTCCAGTTCGATCAGCCAGCCTATGTCTTGAACGTAGAACTCGTGCAAGCCACGCCCTTCAAGCCGAGGACCGAGATCAATGTTTGGCCAAAGGGGCTGTGTCAATACCGCGCACAATGCACTGCACACAAGGTCTACGACATTTGTCATAAAAACGAAGAAAAGTAAAGATTACCGGTGTATCCCCACTTGTATCTTTTCCAATGCATCTCCAGAGCAGTTTCGAAGCACCGCCGGATTGATTTGCTTCAACAGCCTCCGCATAAATTTTTTGATTCCCATGTGGTCGATCCGTCTCGCCGACCAGCCACGCTTGTATAGGTGCTTCTTGTAGAAGTAATCGTGTGCTAGGGATATCATACTGTAGTATCCGTCGTCGCTTTTTATCGCTTGTCCCCTGAGGACCATATTGTACATTGGCCCCCGTTCCTCGTTCCGGACAATAGAATCGGGAACCTGACAATAACTAAGTTTTGTCATTGACACACAAACAAACATATGTCTAACGTTACCTTGTCAAAATTGAGGAGCTTCATAGCAACAGCGTGATAAGGAGCTTCGTGAACGAGGTGGTGGAATCTACAAAAGAGCTCAGCTTCCAAAAAAAAGCAAAAAAAAAAAGAGAGGAGAGGAGAGGAGAGCTGCGCTTACATGCATATGCTCCGCAGCTCAGACAAGCCAGATAGAAACTCAGGCTTGGAGAACTTGGACCACAACTGGTCTTCTACTGCATATGGATGCCTCGTTCCAGCACCCCTGGACTCGAGCAACTCGAGGACATGTGCAAGGACTCCCGGTTGCTTGTCTGTCATTCGAAAAACATAATCCCGGAGTCCGTCACTCAACTGCGGGAGGCCATTATGTGCAAGCCAGCCTGTCCAAACTTCTATGGCTTCCAAATCACTGAGCTGTATAGCGACTCCATGGGAGCCTGCAGGTCTGGCTGGAGATATGCCTGTTAGATTAACTTTTCGAAAAAGATAAGAAATTTTTACCTTAAAAGTACTCGGTTCTCGTCATTCCATTTTCCAGGAGCCGACTTTGCCATGAAAACTGTCTCTGCTCCGAATCCCGACGAGATGATAATTTTGAGGTTGGGAATCCATGTTGTATCTCGTTCCTTATTGCGATATTCCTCTTGCGTCGACCTTATAACGTTCCAAAGCGGCATTTCGTCGGCATAAGAGCCGTCGGCTTCGTCGACGATGAGCAGCCTTTTCGGGCCGCCAGGCTCGAAAAGATCGTTGAAGGCCCCCTCTAGGAACTAAAGCACGTTAGTGGTCGTAGCTGACGAAAAAATCACTGACATACTTGAGTACTTGGCCACGAACTGCTCGTCGAAGTTTAAATGGATTGAAGCCAAGCTGATGAAGTAGACGTGTTTCCAACGCGGTGAACGTCTTGCCGCCGCGTCCGCGAGCTGAAGCAGAGAAGTTTTCCCACTCTGTGGAGGTGCTCGCATCTGGACAGTCCCTACTGTGTCAACAAGCCGTAGTAGCTTGTTCACAGTATGTGTTCTAGGCGAATAAAAGCTCCGTTGCAACCGTTCACCTAAGCCTTCGGTAGTTGATCCATAGTCGTGAACTGCAAGCACGAAGAGGTTTTCTCTATGCACAAGTTGCTGAAACAAATCTCACCGTCCGGCAACTGAATTCTTCGTTTCGGAGGCGCTGTCAGGACACAGCATCACGGTTACACGCCTGATCACATAAAAAATCACGAGGCTTGCCTGTACTGAAGTGAACTTCGTCAGAGTTGGTTGCCTCCATCCCTGTTAGGGTTGTGGCGGGAAAGAAAAATAAAAACGTAAAAACGAAAAAAAAAAGGAGAAGAAAACGAGTCTCTGATGCAATCAACGAATACATTTCTATTTGTTTTACCTTTAGACAAATGTGCGTTTCTTTACGCATGAATATTTTTATGTAGTCAGAACGAATGGTTGGACATCCTGTTCTTCCCGCACTCCCATCACAGATCTGCAAATAAAATGTTGAGTGAGCAAAACAAAAAGGCTGCCGTCTACCTTGCTCTAGATGCTGCATACAGTCTCTCATTAGATGCGTGGATTTCCGCAAACATGCGGTGGAAGCTTTGCGTCTTGCGCTTTCCACTTGTAGCTCGCAAGAAATGATCTTTGTTCCACACTTTTTGCATCTCAGCAAACCTTGACAAGACCAGTCAGTGAGTTTTTAAGAGAAAAGAAAATGAAACACTACAACCAACCTGGCCACACGGTCAATCTTCCCTCGCCGGACAACCGCCTTCTTGCTGGCAGCACCAAACGATCCATCTGAAAGGCAAGGAGAATGGCTCTTTATGTCACTTGCACGACGCTCTGCAGACACGGAAAATCACGAGGGTGGTGAAACCTGCCTAAGAATTAAAAAATAGACTCACGGAATGCAGGGCTCGGGCTCTTTTGAATTCTATCGTCTGACACTCTTTCGATAAATGTGCGTGGAGTAGAATTGATTGAGTCTTCACCATCTGTCTCGTGCTTCTTCATGGAGAAATGCCTGAACTCTGGCGTTCCCGAGTCTCGCAAGAGCTGGCAAGCAGCGCAGTTTGATCGATTGGTGCCTCCAGACAAAGGTCTCTCTTCCGTTGCTACATGTTTGCAAGCGCTATAAGCAACTGAAATAAAAGAGGAACCAACAATACTACCTGCATGAGACTCAGTGACAGTCCTGGCAAAGCAATCATCCTCAGAGACTGGAGCAGCGGCTGGAAGCTTGGATGCTCTTGGATGAAACAGATTGTGCGATCTGACAACCCCCAGGTTGAGAGGCTTGAGATTGATCCCAAAGTTCTCAATAGCTTCCTCAACTTCCAGCGAACTTATCGAGTGGTCGACCTCCGACGCGCTCCCATCTTTGCCACTGGCACGTTTGCTCGAGCTATATTCCGAGCTCTCTTCATGGTAAACTCTACGGGAACCACCACCACCTTTGGAATTCCGATGACTTGAGCTGTAGTCCGAGCTCTCCTCCTGGTAGCGATGACGGTGGTGGTGGCGATCATGCTGGTAATCGTCACGCTCTCGGTAGTGTCTCGCCGACAAAGATCTTACTCGGTCACGATCCGAAAAAAGATCTTCGGATGGTTCCTGCTGCAGCACTGGACACGATACAGGCCTCTGGCGCTCCTTGAGCTGTTCTAAGATCTCCCCAGGATACAAGTACTCGTCCACCACCGGAGAGGCCTTGGACGCAAAGTCAAACGTGGACGATACCACATTGTCGCACGGCTGAAGAACATGCCGCGACGATCCACCACCAATTTGCTGTGCTTGCGAGGCGTGATCCCTGTGAGAAATCTCTCGATTCTCCTTGCTGGAGTCGGAGTCCGAGGCCAAGAGGCCCACATTGCAACGAGGCGGAGTGCTCGGCCTGGAAGAAGAGGCGCTGCTGGATTTCGCAAGGAGCTGCTCCTGGAGTTGGAGTTCCCGGCTGTCCTCGAATCTAACATTGCGATGCGAGAACCTGTGCTGCTGATTCATACCTTCTAGCTCCCAAGGAGAGCTATCCCGAGTGTTCTTGGGGACGTCCTCATCGAAATCCTGATCAAGATAGCTCGATGCCGGCCGGGAGGGATCGGAAGGGCTGCGATCTTCGCTCTTGAAGCAATTGGGGACAGTGATCTGGAGCTGCGACAAGAATGCGAGAATGACATGATCGGGAACATCGTCGTGGCCGAGAGCGTGTAGCTCCGATCGAAGCTCCGGGAGCGTGAAGAAGGCCGCCATCGCCGAATGGAACCCTAAAACAACACACACTGCGAGGCAAAGAAAGAAGAAACTAGAAAGCTTTTAGGAGAGACAACAGACAGTTTGGACGTTGAGGACAAATCTTGACCGTAACTTTTTTAAACTCTTCAAAAACATGTGGATACATCTGGGCCGTTCATCCGCAACGATGGAGATGGATTCTCGTGTTCTTCGAGAACAGTTCCTGTGGAGTTGGAACTGGATAAAAGTCATGTAAGAATGGGCACAAAATCACGAGAAGAATCAAATCAAACCTTTTAACTAATGGCGACGCAAGGAGGAGAGCTTTTGTCCGGTTGAAAAGCAGCGTTGTTGCATTGTTGCTCGATCTTGTCAGCCGGCGCCTTGAAACTATCCTTGAAATCCATCGCCACATGGTTTTGCTGCTGCTGCTGCTGCTCGTCGAGCGCTTCATCTGGTAGAGTCATCTCCTTCCGCTTCACGTCCCTCGCAGCTCGCAGAGTCTCCAGCAAACTCTCCAAAGCATCGGTCGGGAACTTCTTCTTCTTGATCAGGATCTCGCTCACCTCCGCCGGCGTCACCTTGGCCTCCTCGAGCACCAGCTCCAGATCATCGTAGAGCTCGTGATCACGAATTCCCAGATAGTTGGTCGCCAAGATCTTGAGCGCCGGGAAGGTGCAGTGGGACATGAAGATGTGCATGTCCATCCGACCCGAGCGGAGCAGCGCCGGATCCAGCTTGTCGATGTGGTTGGTCGTGAAGATGATGATCCGCTC